AGAATTGACCTATACATGAGAAATGCATCTTGTCCACAAAACTCAAGCTTCAAAACTGTACAGAACTGCTTAAAGGCAAACCCTGGATGAGCCCGACTAGTAGGAAGGATACCATAAGGGGAAATTTCGGGGTACGTATGTACCTTCATAGATCATGCCAGCTTCGTTGCCCAAATTGCGCGATTAGGGCGCTAATCCATTACGAACCTGCAACCATCGACCCTCGCTGCAACGCTTCCCACCCACCGCTATTGATGTAGAGATCAGCGTGCTCTCTCGCGTGTTTTGTCTTCTTTGATCGCCCTTCGCCATCGTACCACATCCGACGTTACAATAGGTTAAGGCCTTAATTTTAGCGTTTCCGATGATTTCTCTTGTCCTCCTTTCCACTTTCACTTCATTCCGCAGCTCAATCATACTACGATGCGCCCATAGCTAGTTTTGTTCCGGGGCTTGCCTTCGAGAGATAGGTCCTCTAAGTGTTTAATTATGCTCACAACAAAAGCCGTCATGTTTAAATGAGCAGCCAAAGCTTCAAGGGTTCTTTCAAGAGTCATTTTGCACTTTCTGGTCCTAAGCTGTCCGCTTAGCCAAAGATCAACTAATCTGATTTTGGTTATGGTACCGTGACCGATAGTTGTAGAGCTTCTGCCGGCTAAATTTGATTAGTGGCTCCTTGTCGGCGTATCGCCTGGGGGTTTGTGATCTTTCAGTTGACACGAGCTGCCCAAAGTCAACGATTAGATTTTTGAGTTGCGCAGAATCGCCGCTAATACGCACGCACCATTGTCCCGCATTTCGTCCTCAAAACGGAATTCGGTGGATCGCAGGGTTTTTGCTTGGATTAGAAAAAGCATCTTTAAAAATTGATCAAAAACTACTCAATGAAGGCTTCTGATTATTTATCAATGGACTTAAATTTTTGTCTAGCCTAAAATGTTTCACTTAAGATGTATGCTGAACACCGTGCAGCATCGACATGTGGCCATCGCTCGGCTGTCCCATCCTACAAATCTCGGCCGGACAATGCAGGACTTGCGGTTCATCATCATAGTCATCGCACCAAGTCGAGCGGTAAGAGACTTTGACTCCATGCATTCATTACACAAATTACTACTAAATCAAAGGACTTGCGCGCTGTTGTTTCTGTTTCTACTGCCACAATGGAGACTGATATTGCAAATTCGACATCTCCATGGCATTGAACGCGATGCATTCCCAGCGGGGTTTGGGTTCGCGATTTCCTAAGCCTGTCCATGTAATCCTTAGCCCGTAGGCGAATGGCGGTCTGTCTCCCCATCTAAGGTCTTGCGCACTGTTGTTTCTGTTTCTACTGCCAAAATAGAGACTGTATTGCAAATTGGACATCTCCATGGCATTGAGCGCGATGCATGCGCAGTGGGGGAGGCAGGCCGCCCACTTCACCTACGGGTTGAGTACACCGAATCAGTTTGAGTAAATTGGAAGTAATTTGATTTCATCCTGATTCGGGCCGAACATCCGTACAAATATGTAAACACCGATTTAACTGTAAGCTGGGTGTATAACGATCAACGAAATCCTCGACTAGGGCTGTGTGCTGTGCGTAAGAGATGTCCCGAGAGTGAACATACGCGCGAAGAGCACAGACGGCTCGCGCATGGGGAGTATGAATGTTTGCGCGGGAGAGCGTAAATGACCACGCATCCTCGACAAGCCATTGAGAAATCCTTGAACGATATTTACCCTTATTGATTAATGTGTTATTGATAATGGTTAGAGACTACAGCATTAATCTCAGCACCTTCAAGGAATTAAAATTCATGACTGCAATTTTTATATAGGCTCGCAGTGTGGCTCTTAGCTCTTACTTAACATTCGTTCTTCAAGGTATTTTAAAAGAAATTGGTATTACTCTGTTGCGGGAGGACCGGGGGGGTGGAGTATCCCCCGTTACGGTGAGCAACATATTCACGCTTTTCAGTGAGAAGCGAAGAATTTTGAGCCAGGAGTGGGTGTAGGTAGCTGTGACGCGGTGTGTGTCAATCAATTGATGTGTGAAAAGTGGAATGTGCGAGCAGAAATGCCGAGGGCAATGATGGCGACTGCCTATTTCCCAACTGTATAATTGTAAGCTAGTACTAAAACCTGATTCCCCTCGAGATTCCGTTCTTATGATATTTGGAACGTAATATATCAGCTAATGACGCTCTGACAATTTCCATTGACACTGAACTGAAGCTGATGGATCATATGCATTTAGAGAGCAAAAATGAAAAGCACGAATTTCCTTCAAATTTGCTATCTGCTTGTTGAACTTTAAAAAATACTAAAAAGCCACTGTTCATGTGCTGGGCTTCTTAACTATGTGCTCACTTATTCTTCTTCAGAAAGGCACGAAAACCGCGTTGGAAACAACTCGCACGTTCGCCACGTTATTCGCCGATATGGAAATCCGACAGCGGCTGGTGATGGCTCAGTCCGTCGAAGCGTTCAGGTGAATGAATGGATTCTTCGAGCAAGTGGAATAGCAAATAGAAGCAAAGAGCCTTTTTGGCTTTTGAAAGATGACAGTCGTACTGGTGGAGCCTCGCTCACTTGTGATCTCCCGCAAGGGACCCCAACTGTGCACGAAAATAAATGCTGTTCGGCAATCATTTCAAGTTTACCCCTTTTCTGGCGGGTTTTCGCCTGACAGGAGCAGAAATAAAACACTGACCATCCTCAATAGCAGTGATCGTAGTAAAGTTAGTTATAAGAGTTTTACCTTTATCTCATTTCAGATCGACGTTACTCTCCGCAGCCAAAGAACTTGCCATGGACCAAAATCAATGGCGTGAACGGAAGTCCTCCATTCATCTCAGTCAAGCGAAAGAACAGATTGTAAGTGCATCCAAAATGATCCTTTAGTTCACTCCCGCATTCTTCGCATTGTCACGTTCAATTTCCTATGCAAAAGGAGCTTCACGATAACTGATCTAACCAAGCAGCGATTGCCTTCATAGTGTTTGCCCTTGTCCGAATCTGCGCAGATTAAGGGAACCGCAGTGGCATACTATGTAGTAAGAACAAGCAGGATCCTATTACAGTTCTTCCAAACGTGGGCAAAATTAGAATGCTCTGAGATAGAAGAGGTTGGTAATAAGGACTGAGGATGAACAGGTGGAGCAGCGATAAGTAACGCAGCTCCTGCACACTTATGGAATCGGACCCTGATTGAGCCTGGAACAGATCACCCAATCACTCCATCTCAGCGTGAATGGCAAATTGCGAGAAGAACAGTCTTCGAGAAGGAAAGCAAAGACATACAGCCGAATCGTTTCCGCCAGTCAACGAGGGTCTGATTATTTATCAATGATTTGATGGTCTGCAAGCTAATGTGTTTCACTTAAGATGTATTCTGAACCCCGTGCAGCATCGACATGTGGCCATCGCTCGGTTGTCCCATCCTACAAATCTCGGCCGGACAATGCAGGACTTGCGGTTCATCATCATAGTCATCGCACCAAGTCGAGCGTAATTAGGGGGAAAACTGGTTTTGGACTTCGATGCCTTTCATAGACAATTATATTAATTCAAAGGTCTTGGCGCTGTTCTTTCTGTTTCTTGCACTGCCACAATGGAGACTGATATGGCAAATTCGGCATCTCCATTGCATTGAACGCGATGCATTCCCAGCGGTGTCTGGGTTCGCGATTTCCTAAGCCTGTCCATGTAATCCTTAGCCCGTAGGCGAATGGCGGTCTGTCTCCCCATCTAAGGTCTTGCGCACTGTTGTTTCTGTTTCTACTGCCAAAATAGAGACTGTA